TACTGTTGTTGTGGTATAGATTTAGTCTGGCAAGATTCTGTCTATTAGTTGTGAGCTAATAAAGGAGCTAAACTGTTCTGGACTGTCTCGCTGTTGTTCTTGGGCTGAACCTGACAGGTGGATGGCTTTTGCTGGGTTTTGTTAGATAAGAAGAGTCCTTTTAGTTCTCAGTAGCATTTAGTACCAACGATCATGGTATATTTCTGGATCACCTGCAAGGACTGGGGGTGGGAGACACTGTTTTATAGTGTTTCTGCTCCTTCCTGGGTGGGTGTTTCCAATCAGTAGGGAAAGAGAGGTTGGCCAGGTGGTTGCTTCCTTGTGGGGTGCTGCAACATTTGCTCTTCTCTCCCCTAATTTTAAAAATCTAGTAGTTTTATGTAAATTTTAAAAAGAGAGAGCTTATCTTATCAGTTTGGAGTGAGGTATGAATATGCTGATGATACCCCAGTTATATATATCCACCTCAGACCAAGCAGGAAGTATGGTGGAGGCCTTGACTCTGGGGCAGGTCTGAATGGGATGAAACAAGCTGAGAATTCTAGCATAACTGAAGGCTATTTATTAAAAATAAATCTGACTCTTATTAGCTCCTGTTATAACTCTGGTTTGCACTCTCCTTGAAGAAGCAGGTCCATGGCATGAGGGTTTTTATTTTTTATTTATTCATTTATTTATTACATTTCTCCCCCGCCCATCTCCCCCCAATGGGGGACTCTGGGCGGTTCACACAAAACATTAAAACCATAAATACGTATAAATACATAAAACATAAAAATTTTAAAAACATTACTAAAAAGGAGGAAGAGAGTCCAAGAAGATGAAGGATCTAGGGCTGAAGTTTTCCTGGATTCTTGGCTAGTATTAGACTAGACCTGCAGTTAGAAACTGGGGTCAGGGGAAACTTTGCCCAGCTTCAGCTGGTGTATAGGTTGTGGCCCTAACTGGAGCAGGAGACCCTGGTGAGAATAACTCATGCCCTCATCACCTAGAAATTAGACTACCGCAATGGCCTTTACCTAGGGCCACCTTGAAGACTACTTGGAAACTGCAATTGGTGCAAAATGCAGCTGCCTGCTTATTAGCCCTTGTGCACCATCATATCCATGTAACACTCTTCTTGCAGGTCTTGCATTGACTTCCAATATGTTGAACTGGGTATAATTCAAAGGGCTAATTTTAAGCTATAAAGCCCTACATGGCTTGGCTACCTGGAATCTCCAGGACTGCCTCCTTCAACTGGAAATGATCCTTCCCATATCCTCATCCTGAGAAAAAAGGGTCAAATTCCTCTCCCCCCCCCACCTCCTGCTTGAGGTTGGTGAGCGAGAGGCCCAGAGGTAGTGTTTCTCTGTGATAGCACTTTCACTTTGGGGTAGCCATTGCATAGAGGTTCATTTGGTGCCTTTTAGGAAGGCACTGAAAATATTGTTGCTTCATACAGTGTTCAGTTTGTAATTGCTGTCGGGAGACTAGGGACCGTTGGATAGTATTATCTGATCTGGTGTATTTTTTAATTCAGTATTGATTCTGTTTTGACTGTTCTGATTGCTCTTACGTAAGCCACCAGGAGTTGCACTGGACTGTAGTAGTATAGAAATATCGCAAAAAAGCAAATAAATGTACAGACACATGGCCTTATATTCTGTGAGAGCAGAATGCTGTGCTTCCTACCGTATTATAAACTTTTTTTGCCCTGGATTCCTGAAGAAGCATAGAGTAGACATAAAATTATGACCATGTGATGTGGAGAGTAGGTAAATATATAACTTTCTTTTTGAATCTCATGAGCGCTTTCAACGTGTACCATAGGTATGGGAACCAAGGATAGCTAAGGTTTTTGTAAGCTAATATACATGAAAAACTGGTCCATGTAGGCATCAAATAAACTGTTACATTTCAACAAGTAAACCATGCAAGTATTCCACCTTGGTTTCTGGAGAATTCCTTTGACTTGAGTCGAGAGCAGTGTTTCTCAACCTTGGCAACTTTAAGAGATGTGGACTTCAACTCCCAGAATTCCCCA